TTATTCCTGTCGTTTCGTAAAAGACAGCACTTATTAGCATTATTTTCCTATCGTAGAAAATTTGGATGAAATTTCCAATAGCCCACCACCCACCAGCTTACTTTCAACATTCTTCAAAGCTATGCAATGGAAAGTATACATAAGAATTGTGTTTTATAGGCCGTTCCTGATAGGCGCCATCCCCTGACGGCATACCGTGCACGTACCCCATTGGCAATGGTAACAGCACCATATCACACCAATATTCAGTACAGACTAGAAGACCAACCATTCCGTAAATACGACGTCTTTGGTCTACGCACATGGAGCTATCCAATATACAAGTAAGCGCTTCAATCAGTATATTTATTGAAAACCTGACTGGCTAGTTTTTTAGGTACATATATGGACGAGATCAAGACTATCGAAGGCCATACTCGTACAGTTCATTCAATAGAACGTACGGCACAACTTCCCTCTATACACCACCGCAGTTGACACCAGAAAGCCGTCCAATCACATCACGACGCGGGTAAGTTCGCCAAGTTCGGTGGGGAAGTGGGAAGCGTGTTTGACACTACATATAAAATTGCACATTACTTAGGCGAATTTTCATTGTAATCAGGATGCTCGGTATAAACACGTAAGCTACAACTTAAAACGAGATGACTTGGATGGGGATGCCACAGCATTTGTTGAAATTTGTTTTTGATTTTTTAGTTTTTCTTTTAAAATATTTTAAAATACCAATACCTATTCTGAAGGAAGGGGAGGGAATTGGGAGAAATAGGGTATCACCTCATCCCGCCAATGAAAATCGGGAATGGTTATTTCAAGATCTAGGCCACAACCATATATTGTTGGATTGTTCAGTCTGCAATTTTTTTTCCAAGTCCTCCCAGTTCCGCTATATTGATAGAAATGTAAAACGGTCCTCAAAAGTAATGGACAAAGCGCATTAGAACAAATTGTGCTCATTCAGAGCAGCAACTTAAAGCTTTTTGAAGAAGCAGTGTTACCAACGCTACGATTTTCTTGAAGCAATCGGTATTGTCTCATTACCTAATCCATGATAAACCGTTCTTCTAACTATCTTGAATTACTAACATTACAGAAGATTGGCTATTTTTGTGGTGCTACTAGAAAAAAGATAGGATAGCTCAATTTGAAGAGCTGAGCACATAAGTAACCGCTTCAAACATACCCATCAGCTGCAGAATTTGCTTAAAATCAAATGTTCAAATTAAAACGAAGAAGTAGATGGGTAAGCAGCGCCTCTTTCTGACAGGAGTCCTAAGTGTTAATTTTCAACGACATCAAATCAATGTTTCTGACTTTGATAGGTTGCGTTTAAAGAAATTTCAAAACCCATTCTAAGAGGAAAATTATTTTTTAACAACTTTTTCCGCTGGTGAACTGCTTCAGCAATGTGGAAAGAAATTGGAAAGAACGAACGGGACATGGCCTTACATTGACAGTATGCTTACGTAAAAGCCACTATCTTCAATGTTGAAGCTTCATTCACACAAAAATAAATTATTTATATTTAATGAAATTTTGAGTTTATGCTGCCAGTGCGCCCGCAGATCACTTACGATGCTCCTTGTAATGGCAGATTGCTAGTTAAGTCAAAAGAAAGATAACTAATTAATATAGCAAAACACCAAAAATTTCACATTGATCAGGGTAAAA